CCCCGGCCTCACCATCCTCGTCGTATATAAAAGGGTGAACGCGGGTGATGTCATCAGAGCCACCATTCTTTTCCAGCATCCAGAGAAGAGGGCCCCCAAAATTAAATACTGACCCCCGCACCATATCCAACCCATCGCCCCGCCATTTACAGATCAGATAGAAAGTCACAAACAACGGAAGGAGCGATGTACAAAGGGGCCCGGCGGGCACTTACCCTCTCACTGATGGCATTGTATTTAATGGCCAGCTCGTCCCTCTCTGCCCGGCTCTGGGCCAGCAGATCCTCCACCCGGGACAACTCCTGCTGCAGGATGCGATTCTCCTCTTGTACGGAGAGGAGGGAGGACATGTCTGAGGGGGGACCTGCAGAGAAGACGGGGGATGGTATTAACTGGTCACTGACATCACTGCTCTATGACATCACTGCTCTATGACATCACTGCTCTATGACATCACTGCTCTATGACATCACTGCTCTATGACATCACTGCTCACCCACGTCACTGCTCACCCTCCTCACCGCTCACCCTCCTCACCGCTCACCCGCGTCACTGCTCACCGGCGTCACTGCTCACCGGCGTCACTGCTCACCGGCGTCACTGCTCACCGGCGTCACTGCTCACCGGCGTCACTGCTCACCGGCGTCACTGCTCACCGGCGTCACTGCTCACCGGCGTCACTGCTCACCGGCGTCACTGCTCACCGGCGTCACTGCTCACCGGCGTCACTGCTCACCGGCGTCACTGCTCACCGGCGTCACTGCTCACCGGCGTCACTGCTCACCGGCGTCACTGCTCACCGGCGTCACTGCTCACCGGCGTCACTGCTCACCGGCGTCACTGCTCACCGGCGTCACTGCTCACCGGCGTCACTGCTCACCGGCGTCACTGCTCACCGGCGTCACTGCTCACCGGCGTCACTGCTCACCGGCGTCACTGCTCACCGGCGTCACTGCTCACCGGCGTCACTGCTCACCGGCGTCACTGCTCACCGGCGTCACTGCTCACCGGCGTCACTGCTCACCGGCGTCACTGCTCACCGGCGTCACTGCTCACCGGCGTCACTGCTCACCGGCGTCACTGCTCACCGGCGTCACTGCTCACCGGCGTCACTGCTCACCGGCGTCACTGCTCACCGGCGTCACTGCTCACCGGCGTCACTGCTCACCGGCGTCACTGCTCACCGGCGTCACTGCTCACCGGCGTCACTGCTCACCGGCGTCACTGCTCACCGGCGTCACTGCTCACCGGCGTCACTGCTCACCGGCGTCACTGCTCACCGGCGTCACTGCTCACCGGCGTCACTGCTCACCGGCGTCACTGCTCACCGGCGTCACTGCTCACCGGCGTCACTGCTCACCGGCGTCACTGCTCACCGGCGTCACTGCTCACCGGCGTCACTGCTCACCGGCGTCACTGCTCACCGGCGTCACTGCTCACCGGCGTCACTGCTCACCGGCGTCACTGCTCACCGGCGTCACTGCTCACCGGCGTCACTGCTCACCGGCGTCACTGCTCACCGGCGTCACTGCTCACCGGCGTCACTGCTCACCGGCGTCACTGCTCACCGGCGTCACTGCTCACCGGCGTCACTGCTCACCGGCGTCACTGCTCACCGGCGTCACTGCTCACCGGCGTCACTGCTCACCGGCGTCACTGCTCACCGGCGTCACTGCTCACCGGCGTCACTGCTCACCGGCGTCACTGCTCACCGGCGTCACTGCTCACCGGCGTCACTGCTCACCGGCGTCACTGCTCACCGGCGTCACTGCTCACCGGCGTCACTGCTCACCGGCGTCACTGCTCACCGGCGTCACTGCTCACCGGCGTCACTGCTCACCGGCGTCACTGCTCACCGGCGTCACTGCTCACCGGCGTCACTGCTCACCGGCGTCACTGCTCACCGGCGTCACTGCTCACCGGCGTCACTGCTCACCGGCGTCACTGCTCACCGGCGTCACTGCTCACCGGCGTCACTGCTCACCGGCGTCACTGCTCACCGGCGTCACTGCTCACCGGCGTCACTGCTCACCGGCGTCACTGCTCACCGGCGTCACTGCTCACCGGCGTCACTGCTCACCGGCGTCACTGCTCACCGGCGTCACTGCTCACCGGCGTCACTGCTCACCGGCGTCACTGCTCACCGGCGTCACTGCTCACCGGCGTCACTGCTCACCGGCGTCACTGCTCACCGGCGTCACTGCTCACCGGCGTCACTGCTCACCGGCGTCACTGCTCACCGGCGTCACTGCTCACCGGCGTCACTGCTCACCGGCGTCACTGCTCACCGGCGTCACTGCTCACCGGCGTCACTGCTCACCGGCGTCACTGCTCACCGGCGTCACTGCTCACCGGCGTCACTGCTCACCGGCGTCACTGCTCACCGGCGTCACTGCTCACCGGCGTCACTGCTCACCGGCGTCACTGCTCACCGGCGTCACTGCTCACCGGCGTCACTGCTCACCGGCGTCACTGCTCACCGGCGTCACTGCTCACCGGCGTCACTGCTCACCGGCGTCACTGCTCACCGGCGTCACTGCTCACCGGCGTCACTGCTCACCGGCGTCACTGCTCACCGGCGTCACTGCTCACCGGCGTCACTGCTCACCGGCGTCACTGCTCACCGGCGTCACTGCTCACCGGCGTCACTGCTCACCGGCGTCACTGCTCACCGGCGTCACTGCTCACCGGCGTCACTGCTCACCGGCGTCACTGCTCACCGGCGTCACTGCTCACCGGCGTCACTGCTCACCGGCGTCACTGCTCACCGGCGTCACTGCTCACCGGCGTCACTGCTCACCGGCGTCACTGCTCACCGGCGTCACTGCTCACCGGCGTCACTGCTCACCGGCGTCACTGCTCACCGGCGTCACTGCTCACCGGCGTCACTGCTCACCGGCGTCACTGCTCACCGGCGTCACTGCTCACCGGCGTCACTGCTCACCGGCGTCACTGCTCACCGGCGTCACTGCTCACCGGCGTCACTGCTCACCGGCGTCACTGCTCACCGGCGTCACTGCTCACCGGCGTCACTGCTCACCGGCGTCACTGCTCACCGGCGTCACTGCTCACCGGCGTCACTGCTCACCGGCGTCACTGCTCACCGGCGTCACTGCTCACCGGCGTCACTGCTCACCGGCGTCACTGCTCACCGGCGTCACTGCTCACCGGCGTCACTGCTCACCGGCGTCACTGCTCACCGGCGTCACTGCTCACCGGCGTCACTGCTCACCGGCGTCACTGCTCACCGGCGTCACTGCTCACCGGCGTCACTGCTCACCGGCGTCACTGCTCACCGGCGTCACTGCTCACCGGCGTCACTGCTCACCGGCGTCACTGCTCACCGGCGTCACTGCTCACCGGCGTCACTGCTCACCGGCGTCACTGCTCACCGGCGTCACTGCTCACCGGCGTCACTGCTCACCGGCGTCACTGCTCACCGGCGTCACTGCTCACCGGCGTCACTGCTCACCGGCGTCACTGCTCACCGGCGTCACTGCTCACCGGCGTCACTGCTCACCGGCGTCACTGCTCACCGGCGTCACTGCTCACCGGCGTCACTGCTCACCGGCGTCACTGCTCACCGGCGTCACTGCTCACCGGCGTCACTGCTCACCGGCGTCACTGCTCACCGGCGTCACTGCTCACCGGCGTCACTGCTCACCGGCGTCACTGCTCACCGGCGTCACTGCTCACCGGCGTCACTGCTCACCGGCGTCACTGCTCACCGGCGTCACTGCTCACCGGCGTCACTGCTCACCGGCGTCACTGCTCACCGGCGTCACTGCTCACCGGCGTCACTGCTCACCGGCGTCACTGCTCACCGGCGTCACTGCTCACCGGCGTCACTGCTCACCGGCGTCACTGCTCACCGGCGTCACTGCTCACCGGCGTCACTGCTCACCGGCGTCACTGCTCACCGGCGTCACTGCTCACCGGCGTCACTGCTCACCGGCGTCACTGCTCACCGGCGTCACTGCTCACCGGCGTCACTGCTCACCGGCGTCACTGCTCACCGGCGTCACTGCTCACCGGCGTCACTGCTCACCGGCGTCACTGCTCACCGGCGTCACTGCTCACCGGCGTCACTGCTCACCGGCGTCACTGCTCACCCGCGTCACTGCTCACCCACGTCACCGCTCACCCGCGTCACTGCTCTCACCGCTCACCCACGTCACCTCTCCCCCACGTCACTGCTCACCCACGTCACCGCTCCCCCACATCACTGCTCACCCACGTCACTGCTCACCCGCGTCACTGCTCACCCACGACACCGCTCCCCCACATCACTGCTCACCCATATCACCGCTCCCCCACCTC